GGAAGTGTGAGCTCAGGGCCTCAGCGCCCTGGTATTGAAGACTTCCTGGTAAAGCAGGGCCTATAATTGGCTGTCTTGAGGGCACAGCGTGGGAGACTCCATGGGAATATCGTGGCAGAGGGATGGGACCTTGCAGGCCAGACCCAGAGCTTAGAGTGCATCCATGTGTCCCCCTGCCTGTTACTGCTGAGGACTCAACACAGTGATTGATGGGAAGGTGAGAAGAGCGTGGCATTAGAGGCCCCAGGACCTGGTATTTATTCTGAGGTGGGGAGACTGGGGTGGATGTGTGAGGGGTTGGATTGTGGGTTCTCAGAGAGAGGATGTTCATGGTTTCATCTGTCTGTTTCATGAAAGGGTGGTGTGACCTTTGAGGACATTGCCGTGTACTTCTCCTGGAAGGAGTGGAGGCTTCTTGATGAGGCTCAGAGACGGCTGTACCACCATGTGATGCTGGAGAACTTTACGCTTATATCCTCATTGGGTAAGGCCCTCACCTTCTCCTTGACCTGGACAAGACTCTATTCTGCGTCCCCCCTCTGCATTTTCCAGGGTAGGTTTGTCCTTCTCTCGTGTGGACTGTGGGCACTGCTTGCTTCCCCAGCTTTCTGTTTAGTTGCTTTTGTTGCTAGCTCTGAGTTGTTGGTGTGCCCTTTTCTCTGCCCTGCAGCTCCCAGTGCCCTCTGTGCTGAGCCCTGATCGGGTAAGATTGGAGGTCAGTGGTCATGCAGTAAGGCTGTTGGATTGCACCTTGCTTGCCCTCTCCCTGGCTGCGTCCATGTATCTAGATCCATGACTTTTCAATGGCCTAGGTTTTGCCCCTTCTCTTAAGTGACATTTCCTTGTGCCTTCCTGTGCCTGAAATGGGAGGCATTGGTATGGTCACTACCTTAAAGGACCCTGGGCTAGTTCTCAAGAATGTCCTGTATGGAACTTTTGGTTTTAGTTTTTAAAGATTTTATTTATTTATTTGTCAGAGAGAGAGAGAGAGAGAGCAGCAGCAGGCAGAGGGAGAAGCAGGCTCCCCTCTGAGCAAGGACCCCCAATGCAGGATTCGATCCCAGGACCCTGGGATCATGACCTGAGCCGGAGGCAGACGCTTAACCAAGTGAGCCACCCAGGTGCCCCTGTATGGATCTTTTTGTAATGTGTACATCTCTCTTCTACCTGCCCCCCTCCTTCAGGTTGGTGAGGTATGATTGACAAATCGAATTATATAATTGAAAGTATTATGTAATGATTTCATGTACTTAAACATTATGAAATTAAGGGCGCCTGGGTGGCTCAGATGGTTGAGCGTCTGCCTTCGGCTCAGGTCATGATCCCAGAGTCCTGGGATCGAGTCCCGCATCGGGCTCCCTGCTCCTTGGGAGCCTGCTTCTCCCTCTGCCTCTCTCTCTCTCTGTCTCTCTCTCTCTCTGTCTCTTATGAATAAATAAATAAAAATCATTAACAAAAAAGATTATGAAATTAATACCAAAATGAAGTTAGTCAACACAACCATCACTTGGCATAGTTACTTTTGGTGGTGGTGGTGATGAGAAAGCTTGATATCTACCCTCTTAGCAAATTTCAGCTCTACAAATGCAGTATTAACTGTAGTCAACATGCTGTATTCGTTCCTCAGAACTGAATCATCTTGTAAATGAAAGTATGTATACCTGACCACCGTCTGCCCCCCTCTTCATGGGCACAGGCGCTCTCAGTCTCCCTCTCACAAATAAATACATCTTTAAAAAAAAAAAAGGGATATCCATGTCAAGAATACCATACAGTATTTGTCTTTTCTGTGTGATGATTTCACTTAGCATGTTTTCCAAG